TTTACACCTCACCCTATTGTACATAGAGAGAAAGAGTTATATGAACAAATCTGTCATCTTCCATCTTTCTTACATTTTGGATTTCTATTTAAGATTTTTATTTTTAAGAAAGGTCCTGCAAATACCAACCAAACAAAACACACATACATTCTGATGTGATAAAGCCCAACTTCCTTTGCCTGGAGTTGAAGACTGAAGTGGATTGAATTATGTCCCCCCACCAAACTCACTGAAGCTTGAATTGTTTTATGTATTAGAAACTTAGCCCCCACTGTGACTGTTAAGATGGTGGGAAATCCTATTACGGTAATTGGAAGGTGGAGCATTAAAGAGTGATTGGATTGTAGGACCATGCAGTAGTGAATGGATTAAAAATGGTGGTCATGGGTGTGGTTCTGAGGGCTTTAAAAGAAGAGGAGAGTCTGTCTTTCTCTCTCTCTGCTTCCACCATCTTGCAATATGAGAACCCTGGGTCACTGTTGCCACCACCAGATGGACTTTGGACTTCCCAGCCTCAGAAACTGTAAGCAATAAATTTCATTTTCTTTATAAATTACCCAGTTCCAAGTATTGTTATAAGCAATGGAAACATACTAATACAAAGACGTTCCATAATCTGGCTGCAGTTTACTTCTCCAGCCTCCCTTCCTTATTTCTCTCCTTCCTTTTGGCACACCCCACTCCACACCAAACTGACCTCTCCTTCATGCATGTGGTACTTTCCCATCTGTGAGGCAGTTAATTAGGCATGAGCAGGTAGAAAGAAATGGAAAATTAAAACTTCCCCATTATTACACCCAGGTCTGTCCCCTTTGGGTAGCTTAGTGGAAACTCCACCCCAAATCCACCCCTTTTGTGGGCAACTTGACAAGAAAAAGCCACAATCTGACCACAAGGGCCTGCTAGGGACTTCCAGGTATAAGGATATGCATAGATGGGACAATTTGAGACCTTGGGTGACCTAATGTTCATTAGGGGCTTATACATATGCAATCCATAAATACTTAACATTATATCAGACTGAATTATGGGTAAGGACATGCACAGTGGGAAAAAGATTATATAAACCTGCCATGTCCATCAAAATGTCAATCAAGCTAGCTTATGCATATACAAAATTAGTAAGATAAAAAAACCTAAACCTAGGTATAAGGGGCCATTTTCTGCTCAGTGAATTGGCCTACTTCTCCCCTTGAAGTGTATCTTCCTTTGTGCTCATTAAAGTTTTGCTGTTGCTTTTAACTCTGGTCTCTGATTCTTCATTGACTTGGGTAAAGGACTGAGGCAAATGGGACCCTCATCCCCTGTAACACATCTATATGCTTCAGTCCCAGATGTGGAGCCTTCTCCCACATCGCCAAATTCTACCCCATTTCCAACCTCAACAACAATGATGCCAGCCATCCCTGACTAGCTGTATATTTGTGGATTTTTAAAAAAATGTCAGCATCTGTGTCTTGCCTATAAACAAAATTGAGAGAATAATCCTAATCCATAGTATTGATAGGAGGACCGATTATAGCAAACAAGGGATACAGGCACTAACAACATATATCAACAACAACAACTTCCTTCCTTGAACTAAGGTCATTTCTTTTACTTGATTTTTTATACAAATGGTATAGGAACAACAGGAGAGCTAATAGGAAAAATAATTTGAGCTAGATTCCTAAACTCATTCTTTACACCAAAATAAATTCTGCAATGAGCCAAAGTTTTAAGTGAAAATATTAAACAATATCAACAATAGCAAATGAATGGAAGAAAAGACAAATGAATTTATTTATGATTTAGAGTAGAGAAAGCCTTTCTAAGCAGGGTACAATAAAATAACCAGAAGCCAACCAATGAAAGCACTAATGATTATATCCTATTAAAAATATTCAGTATTTCTACAGCAAAAAAAAAACCCATGAAAGCACTAATGATTATATCCTATTAAAAATATTCAGTATTTCTACAGCAAAAAAAAAAAAAACCAAAAAAAGAGAACTGTAAAAATGAAACTCTATCAAACCAAGAAATAAATTTTGCAACATTTATTATGAAGGGCTAACTTTCTTCTTTTATAAAAAGCCCTTACATATCAATTTAAAAATGCTGAAAATTCCAGTGAAAAATAGGTAAAGTATTTGGTCAGTGTAGTGAATTGATTTATGACCCCCCCTTGAATTGTGTCCCCCAAGTTTTATGTATTAGAAACTTGGCCCCACTGTGACTGTTAAGAGGGTGGGAAATCCTATTATGGTAGTCGAAAGGTGGGGCCTTGAGGAGGTGATTGGATTGTAGGACCGTGCAGTATTGAATGGATTAAAAATGATGGTCAGGGGTGTGGTTCTGAGGGGTTTAAAAGAAGAGAAGAGTCTGTCCATCTGTTCTTTCTGCTTCCACCATCTTGCAGTGTGAGACCACTGGGTCACTGTTGCCACCACCAGATGGACTTTGGACTTCCCAGGCTCAGAAACTGCATATATCAATAGACACATATAAACAAATAAATTTTGTTTTCTTTCTAAATTACCCAGTTCCATATATTTTGTTATAAGTAACAGAAACAGATTAATATAGTCAAGTAGCAAATACACCTAAATAATAAATATAAAATGATCAATTTTGCTCATAAAGAAATATAAATTGAAGCACAGAGATAATTTTTAACCTATTGGACTGGCAAACATTAAAAAGAGAACATCAATGTGGGTGATGGTGTAAGGACATGGCTGTTTTGGGGGTGCAAATTGTGCTACCTTTGTTGAGAACAACTTAGCAATATCCATCAAAATAAAAAAATGCACATTCCTTTGACTTGCCATTTCCACTGCTTGAAATAAATTCAAGACCTACAGAAATAAGCTAATTGCAAAATATTTTTATAATGGAAAAAAAAATAAAAATAATTTAGTTGTTGATAGATGACTGCTAAATAAAGTCACGGCACATACAAAACATTGAATTTTATTCAGTTATTTAAAAATAATGATGTTCACTAGGATATTTCTAAAAAATGTTAAGTGGGGAAAAAGTGCAGAAGAAATATGATTTTATTTGCATAAATTTGTAATGTGGGGGTGGGATGGGGAGAGTGTATATCAGTAGACACATATAAATGTAAGTATTTTTCTGGAAGCACACATAAGAAACTGAGAAGTGCTTACTTTTGGGAGAGGAGTTGGGTGGGAAATAAGGGAACATGTAGAAAAGAGTGATATTTTTATTTTACGCTTTTCTGAACTCTTGGAAGATTGTAATCATGTCCCTCTATTACTTTTTTTTCTTAAAGATATTATTCACTAAGTAAAGTTGATCCTTGAATAGCAATATGTGATATGAAATTCCAAACAGAAGGGCCTTCCTTTACTTCCAGTCTCACCAGCTATCAATAGTAGAAAGTTCACATTGATGGTCCTCTGTGCCAAAGACCTGGGAATGCAGTTCTGTTTCCATGGAGCATTTTTGGTTGCCATATTTAGACTCCAAGAAGTATCTGCTACAGTGTGAGAAATCTTGCTGATTGGCATTTTATTTTCCCTTCAAATTAAAAGTCATGTGTAGCAGAGTCCACCTGGCTTTGCTCAGCTCAGCAGATAGATTTGGATATTTTTAGTTCCATGCTCTTGTTAACTGGACTCAAAGGCAGAGCAATTGTTATTTGTAGAATGGAAGAATGGGTGGTAGAGAAATGAAAGGATGGAAGAAGGGATAAAAAGATAGAGTATCTTCCTGGTTGGGTAAGCTGATTGTTTTTGCTCCCTGGTCCTTGAGGCAGCATCACATGTTACCAAACATAATCAAATGACAGAGGGTGAAGCTACCCTTTCGGAAGGCACCTCTGCTACCTACGCATCCAGACTTTCTCTTATTCTCTTGGAGCCTGCCTCTAAAAAATCCTACATTGTCTTCCAAAGCCCTGCTTTCAAATATCTCAAAGCCCAGTTTCTTTTATTCATATAACATTTCTCTAATTTCCTAGAAACGCTGAGTACACCATTTGACATGAAGTCCTGTTCTTTTGTCACCTTTTGACTAATTTTGGTTTCTACAACCCAGCATTTTCTTCATTGTTAGCTTCTTTCCACAAATATATTGAGTGCCCGGGTGCAAAGCACCAGTCTAGGGCCTGGATCTAGTTTTCATAACTGTGCACCTTACACGTAAACTTTATCTACATAACACACAGCTCATCTACTGAGGGCCTTTATTCCCAGCTTGTCAGCTAGGATAACGGGAGAGGCACCAAGGTGTTTCAAATGGCCCATTGAGCACTGAATATAATTTATTAATTGGATTAATAAAAGCACTTCTATTACATAGAAGTTCAAACATTTTTTAGAATGAAGAGCCCACACATTAAAAGATTAGAACCACTGGTGATGGATAAAAGTAAAACACATTTAACTATGACAGAGGCAACTTATGCTATAAGTAATAACAAGGGGAATCAGGAGAGTTAGTCGTGACCTTAAGATCAATCAGTGCTATTTCATCTCCCCTCCCACGAGTGATCCAAAGTGTCACATAATAGTTACCTTCAGTACTAACCCCTTCAGCATCAGTACCACTTATTTTTTAAAATGAAAACTGAGGCCGGCCCGTGGCTCACTCGGTAGAGTGCGGTGCTGATAACACCAAGGCCATGGGTTCGGATCCTATATAGGGATGGCCGGTTTGCTCACTAGCTGAGCGTGGTGCTGACAACACCAAGCCAAGGGTTGAGATCCCCTTACCGGTCATCTTTTTAAAAAAAAAGAAAACTGAAAACATTGCTCTGTATGGAGGCCACCACTACCCACATACTTACGTTTACAAATAAATGAAATCCATCTTCTAATGTGAAAATGTGGCTCTGGGAGCTTACCAGTCGCTAAAATTAAAATGTATTAAAACTTACAAACAAAAGAAAAGGTCTTAAACCTCACCTTGACCTAATACCCCACCTGTAACTATTAGAGGTCATTTGCACAATCACACTGGAGCTTAACAGGGCTTCTTTCATCACTTACGTCATGTAGGTGAAAAATGTGCTGAGGGGCTCCAGGGAGTGATTCCGGAAATACTCAAATTCTCTGCACAGCTTTTTCCTCATCTCAGTGTCAATTTTGGAAACAGTAAGAGGATTTGTTTGATTAGCCAAGAAGTTGCCATAATCAGTGGTCTGGAGATGAATTTTCAGATCTGAAATGATGAAACCCCCAATAAGGTTAAATTTTGAGCATGTATGAATAGCTTTTCAACATAAATTGAATTTATGGTAACTCTTTTGGTAAATCCATACTTATGAGACTTTAACATGAGGTTTACACTGTGTATGAGTTTGATTTGAATGTTGATCTCTAAAGCAATGAAACATTCAATGTAAATATGGATATTCCAGCACACCATAAAAATTTTCAATTATCTAAGAAATCTGACATTACTTAGCAGAGCTAAGAAAACATTAACAAACACTTAGTCCAGAGATGGCAAATAGGTTTTGCCTGAGCTGGTTTTAGTCATTTGGAAAGAGCTGCTTGGAACACTGTTGAGATGGATACTGAGGCCCAAACCCAACTTAATGGAAAAGAGATATGTATTAATAATAGCTATTATGGGTATGGGGGTGGAACGGGCACCCATCACTGCTCTATTTCAATGTCTTTTTATTACATTAGTGGGGCTAAATGGTGGAGTTATATAATGGCTGAGCTTGGACTAGATGAGTCTCCTTATTCTTAAAATCCAACATCATATCCGCCAGATCAGGCCATATATCCTTTGAATGTTAGTGGTTTGTGTTGCCAAACAATTGGATTGAATTGAATTCCAGCTTTTTTGTTGTCAGTTCCTCCTGACAAATCACGTGTTTTCTTGCATTCATACTTTTGTTAATGCTGACCCCACCCCACTCTCTAGAATTTCTCCCCCACCCCTTTTTGAATTCCAGCTTTTTTGTTGTCAGTTCCTCCTGACAAATCACGTGTTTTCTTGCATTCATACCTTTGTTAATGCTGACCCCACCCCACTCTCTAGAATTTCTCCCCCACCCCTTTTTTAATTTGTTCATTATAGTGTATTCTTCAAGGTCTGGTTATAACACGAAAATAGTAGTTACCAGTGATTGAGTGTTTATTATATACCAGGTACTGTACTAAGCCTGTATTATCTCATTTCATACTCGTGGCAATCCTATGAGGAGGAATGATGTTTATGCTCTTTTACAGATAAGAACACCGAAGCTCAGTGAGCTTAATAACTTGCTAAACAACTCATAGAAAACTGGTATTGAAAGCTAGGTTTATCTGACTTCAGAGTCCCTTAAAAACTGTATTTTATTGCCAACCAACTCAATTAGATTATCACCTGCTCTGTAAAGCCTTAATTCTCTCAAGCAAAATTATTTAATCTCATTCATTCAAGTTTCAGAGTACTTTGACAATAACTCTAGCATAGCACCTATTACAGGATATACATAGACTTAAGTATGCTTAACCCAAAAAGGCATTTACACTATCTTAGTTATACCTTTTATCTGTGGCTCCTTGTGCGGTACCCAACATGTAAGTGTTATTAAATATCTGAACATCTAAAATGTCTTTGACACCATCCAGCACATGCATAAAGTTGATATAGCAATCTGTAGCTTATTGGATCTTTATTCGAACATTTACTAAGTATCTATTATGTGCTGTCAACTATAGGAGACCTTAAGATGGACCAGACATATTATGATCAAAACCATGTGCTAAGTTAAGCAATAAAGATAAGGACCTTACTTTATGGGTACATAGAAAATGAGACCCAGATCCACAGGGATGGGAGCAAGAAGATGAGGAAAGTTTCCTGAAGGAGGTTAAACCAGAGATGAACCTTAAAGTGCTATGTAAGAGTGGTAGGAAGGCATTCCATGAATTAGTACAGGTATGGTATGTGCGAGAAGCTAAAGCAGTTTAGTGTTTCTGAAGCATTAAGTGGAAGAGAAAGAAATTAAAAGTAGAACTACCATATGATCCAGCATTCCTATTATTATTGGGTATACATCCAAAGGAAATGAAATTAGTACGCCAAAGAGATATCTGCACTCCTGTGTTTATTGTAGCGTTATACACAATAGCCAAGATATGGAATCAGCTTAAGTGTCCATCAACAGATGAATGGATAAAGAAAATGTGGTATAAATACACAACGGAATACTAATTGTCCTACAAAAATAAGAAAATCCTGTCATTCATGACAACATGGATAAACCCGGAGGATGTAACATTAAGTTTAATAAGTCAGGCACAGAAAGCCAAACACCACATGATCTCACTTATATGTGGAATCAAAAAAAGTTTAACTCACAGAAGTAGAGAGTAGAATGGTGGCTACCAGAAGATGGGAGAGGGAGTGTGGGGGTTGGGGGAGATGCTGGTCAAAGGATACAAAATTTCAGTTAGATTGGAGGAATAATTCCAAGAGATCTATGGTACAACATGGTGACTATAATAAATAACAATGTACTGTATTTTGAGAATCTCTGAGAGAATAGATTGTAAATATTCTCACCACAAAAAATAAGCACATGAGGTAATGCAGATGTTAATTTCCTTCATTGAGTCATTCTACCATGTATACATATTTCAAAATGTCACGTTGTACATGATAAATATATACTATATTTTTGTATTTTACACTTACTTTTAAATTTAGCTTTCTTTTTTTTTCTTTTTTCTTTTGTAACTTATACAATTTTTGTCAATTTGAAAACATAGCGGCAGAAAAAAGGAGAGGTAAGAATTAAAGCCAAAGAAATAGCAGGAATTGTCCGAAGGAGGGCTTAGTGTGACATCTTTATCCCAAGGATAACAGGGAGCCACTGTGGGCAGTGAATTGACTGCTCTGGGAGCTGCGGAGGGTGGATGTGCAATTAGGTGCAATGCGGTACATGAGTCGCTGAGGTCCAGGGTACAGGCTTTCTTTTCAACACCGGGAGATTGTGCCTCAGAAATGCTCTTTATCTGACTGCAGAATTTTTTTGCTCAATTACCTATTTGATTCACTTTATTTAAAACCATTATACTTTTTATGCCATGCTTTGTTTGGCTTTTATTTATGCAGTTCAGATTTTTATGCAATTCGACAGTTTGCATTCTCAGCACCAAGGAATATTTGCCAACAGAAGTGACACAAATGGGATTTCTTTCAAAACCGTGGTATTTTGCTCATGTGACATGTGGGGTTTTTTTT